AGCTATGAAGTTTAAATTCTTTAAGACTCAGCTAGCAGAAAGTCTCAGTGTATTGGATTAGAGAACATTTCCACCATTCTGATCTATGAAAATTTTGACCTAATGTTAAAGAACTGGCAGCAGGCATAATTAGTTTGCAGTAATTTTGAGTTGCACAACCTCAGTTTGAAGCAATACTTGTAGATAGTAGGAGTCTGCGATGTTATGAGCATTAGGCAGAATTTGATCAAAAAGCCTCATGATATTTAAACTTGGATCTTGTAAAAATGGTGAAATATATTTGAAAGCTCAAGTACGTGATGATAGAGCATTGTCTTATGACCTATTTAACGATTGAATGGCATTTCTAGGTGAATGTAAGGGGAAGAAATGAGCCTTCAAAGAGCACAACCTGTTTGATGATTTGAAAGCTTTTCTATTTCTACTTGATAGGAATAAATTACTTTAAAAGGTTTTCTTTTTGTAAAAGATATAAACAGAAGAATTCATAGGCATCATGTTTTGAAACCAGTTCTGATTTAGATTTGAATGGGTGAAATAGCACACAAACTGCTGAAGTCATGACATGTCAGAAATGAACAGAAAAATAACTTGTAGAGATGGAACCTCAACAGACTGAAAGTCTTATATTAAAGTTAATAATTTTCTCCCCCGAAAAAGAAAGTGCCATTTCAGAGGAGACAGAGGAGGTAGAGGCTCCCTTTTTTGCAGCCCCTACCTTCTGTGAGTCAGCAGGGTTCTTCTCCCTGCAGCGCTGCAGAAGATACGTTATAGAAATAACTTTGCTACTAAGAAAAGCAATACTTGTAGATAGTAGGATGATTCTCAGCAAAATCCTCATCCATATAAGATGCTATTGGAGGCAGCCCAAGATTATGCAAGACACAAAGCAGAGTTTGGTTTGAGTGGGCCAACTTCCAATTTCATCACTCAACACCACTAATATTGTTTAGTTGGACAATTTACACCTCTGATGTCATAGTTCACCAGAGTGCGAGTAAATTCTCTCTTTGCTTTGGCAAAGAAATTATTTGGCAAGCCGACAGCTGAGCTAACCATATCACAGAACAAAGTTTGTCCTGGCTTCATATTTATGGCTAGCCTTAAATACAACAATGTAATCGCTATATTTTTACAAATGGTTATTCATCTTTGCAATCTATGAAATGTTTACCATTTAATTTGAAACAAATGCAGGATTAGATTTATGTATTTAATGTACATGTATTAAAATGAACAGACAAGTGTATAAGAGACGATTCAGGACTTGTCATGGTTTGAGTTTTTCTGTGTGTTTATTTTAGGTTTCAGTGTCTTATGAGTCACCGTGTTTTCCTGTCTTCCCCTCATTCGTTCCCAGGTGTGTCTCGTTCCCTGATTACCTCCTATGTATTTAATGTCACCTGCGTCTCTGTGTCTTTGTTGGGTCTTTGTTTATGTGTCATACAGGTCTCCCCTCAGATGTCAGCTGGTCATTTGCTTACCAGCCGCTACCAGTTTTGAGCCTTAGCCTTCCGCTCAGCTGTGCTGCCTAGGATTTTGGACTTTGGATTGTTTTGTGCTTATTTTCATGATTAAAACCACCGTCATTAATTTCTACCTGGGTCCCCTGGGTTCTGCCTTACCACCTCACACCACAACTCTTGACAGGACCATGAATATTCCAGAGGAAAAAATGTTTTATAAGCGCTTCTGTAGGTTTGTTTCATTAAAAATGATACACAGTGTATTGTCCAGTATGTAACACTGCTGAAGTGCTTGCTTATCCAAAAACAGTTGTAGGCTTTGAATGTGTTCACTGACTGAGGAAACTGGAGCTCAGCATAAGCAGAGATTGCTGCTGACTTGCAGGAATGAAAGAGTAGCATTTTCTTCACTTTTAAAGCTTTTATTAGAGGAGATTTCATGTCCTAAATTATGTAAAGTGCTTCTATGTGAAGGGCCGTACAAAATGCCATTCATAAATCTTTGGAGTGTCCCTTTAAGGACTAGTGAGATTTCTTCCTAAGCCTGGATCTTAGCAAAACTGATTCCCTTAACAGGCTCTGGAAATGAAGCAAAAAATCTTTGTGATACAATAAAAGTTTAAAAGGACTGGAAGACTTTAAAAATTACCTGATTCAGATGAATACCCACATTTTCATCAAGTAAAAGTACTGCATGGCCCTTTCTTACTCGTACCGAGTCTGCATGGCTCAACTGTTTTCACGTTTTGTTGTGTCAAACCCAAAAACTTCATCATTCTCTATTTGATCCACAGTGCAAGTGGAGGAATCTGTACCATGAGACATGCTATCTAAAAATCTGTTTTTTTATGAAAGAGTGGAAGGATGTAAACCATTGTGGAAAAGCGTCTTGATCAGTGGGTACTTGTGTTTTAGTAGTCAGTTGGTTTTGTAGTTGGATCATTTTGGTCAGTACTTGTGCATGTTGAGATTAAATGCCTGCCTGCACATACAAGAAGACAGAAATGTGTTCTCTCTCCCAGGGGTGCAAGAAATAAAACTATTGAATTTAGGCGCACTTAACTCTGCAGGTCTCAAACATGCTGGATATTGACCCTCAAGGATTGGAGCACTCGTTTAGATCAAAGCAATGTTCACGAGTTGGCATGAAAACTCATGTTTCCAGATGCTCTCTGGCTGGTCTGACTGAGCATGAGGTGTTTTACAGAGAATGGGCAAAAACAACACTGGCAGAATCATACCCCAAAGACTTGCAGCTGTAATTGCAGCTGTTATATTGACTCAGCAGGATGAATAGAAATGCTTGCCTTTGTTTCCTAGTTTCTATTTATATAAGAAGTTTGAGAACCTGGTACATCTGTGTAGCTGCACAGTTATGGACTTGGTAGCACTACTGCCTTGCGGCAAGAAGGTCCTGAGTTTATACCCCACCGCTTATCGTATGACCCCTAGAAATAGGCACTAGCTTCTTCGTGACCTTGCAATAACAAGCAGGTATAGAGGTATAGATGGGTGATATAATTTTGCTTTTATTTATCAGTAATGCACTAATTTGTGCCCTTATGCATAAAAAAAGCATGAAAAAAAATGAAATCATGTTAAAGATGCTGCATTCAATCAGAGACTCAACGCAGAAAACCATATGTAATCTTTTAGTTTTAATTTGGAAGACAATAAATACACTGGCTACCCCCCGGATTGCTTCATCCTACAATGTTGTCCCCAGTTTTTGGTTTACAAGTGAGACTCCACCAGCACCCTCAGGCTCTTCCGATTATGCCAAGAATACTGCCATGCATGGCAGAAACTTTCGGAAAAACACACTCAACAAATCACATACAAAATAAACCCATGCAGTGCGTGAGTCAGTCTGCTTCTGTAACTGCAGATTTGATACTGAGGTGCTGCTGTTCAGGTCCAGGAAATAAGTTGTGAATTAGGGAAGAGTGTTTTTCAGATACCAAGGGGTATCTCTTGGTATCTCTTGGGGCTGCATGCCACTCCTTTTTTGAGGAAAGATGCCGATGTTTGTTTGTAACAGTAGAAAATGCTTGATGTGGTTGTTTTTTATTTGGATATTTTATGTGGTTTGGACTTCAACAGCAGCAGGGTGTCTTTTTTGCAGTTCTTGCTCCAATGTCTCGCTGGAGGAGGTCACGGAGGCCATCTGGGCCCGACCATACTGCCACCTGCTGGCAGAAAATGTGTATACAACTATCACACAAAACATGAAAACAAAAACTAACCCAAAACTATTTGTTTTTTTTTTCTAGTCTAATAAGCAGAGAAGTGTAGTAACAAGTTACATTTAATTTAGAAACTATTTTTGGTAAAAAAGTACTTGAGAAAGTACTTTTGCACCATAGTTTTTACTATTATTGGTGAAGTACTTATTCAGTAAGTACAGCATTTATTTTACTGCATGTAGAACAGTGACGTAAAACAAAAAGAGTTTTAGAAATTTTTTTCAAAAAAGTGTTTCTCCCTCCTGGTTTATTTCTAATTTTATTTCAAAGTTTGCCCATAACTTTAGATCAGTCTGTGTATATTTGTTTAAATATTTACAACCATTGTTTTGATCAAATGGTTACTCAGTACTGGCGAAGGCTTATAATTTTTTTTGAATGGCTGTTTTGTTTTTACAAGCCAATGTATTAATCTGTGACAGAGAGACGACCTGTCCAGGGCGCACCCCGCCTCTCGCCCGGAACGTTAGCTGGAGATGGGCACCAGCACTCTTCCCGACCCCACTAGGGACAAGGGTCTTAGGAAATGGATGGATGGATGTATTAATACTTTATTATTAGTCATGTCCTATAAAATGATGGCCTAAATCATAGTTTACATTGGATTAGGCAGCAGAGGAGGCTCCCTAAAAAGGTCCAGTGTACTTTGGTTTGGGAGAGAGTGAATATTTGTTGGTTTTGCTCCTCTTGATTTCTTAAGAAACTTCTCAAAGTTATATTTGTCTAAAATCCCCACCAGCTAAGTAAAGCCAAACAAACCTAAATCCAACATCAAATCATGCTGCGTTCATTCAGTCTCCCTTTCAGAGTCCAAAAACACCCAGTTTACTCTTGGTTTTTGCAGTATGTGCATCATTATCTCCTTATTCTCACAAAACAATTTAGTGGAGGAAGCAAATCACTTAAAACTACCTTGTTTGTTCTTCAGGTACTCATTCAGCAGGGTTGTTGTGTATTTTTGCTTTTCTGACTCTTAACTAGAGGCAGAGCAGACAAAACTTATACTCAAGCAATAGTAGCATTACTTCAATAAATGTTTACTCAAGTACCGCAAGTAAAAAAAAAATAAAAATTAAGCTGTTCTTTTCATGCAAAAACTTTTTTTGTGGTCAATCAAATCATATCCTTATTTTAATTAATTAATTTAATTAATTTAACAAAAAAATCCAAAAAGCTATTTAAAAACCCTTCAGATATTTTTACAAGTGTAGATAGGTCAAAATACAAAGAACATAAGCTAAACAAACAAGAGGGAGAAGAGGGAGAAGAAGAAAAAAAACAAGTTACATACACTTCTTTCATTTTATTGACATTTTCTCTTACAAAAACAGGTAAAATCAGAATGCATAGAGTGAGCCTCAGCAGGCTCATCTTTGACATGGAAAAAACACTAAAGGGTGAGAGCAAATTATTAAAAAAAACAACAAAAACAACAAAACACTGTCTTCAGGTTTTCAACACACACTTCTATATGGTCTCTTCCATACAAAATACAAGCCAATGAGAACTGTTATGTAACTCATGTAGAAATACAGACAGAGGCAAACTCACTGACACACAAAGGCAAGTAGGAGGGCTGAAAAAATCCTTCTGAAAGACAATGACACAAGGGAGGAAATGTCTACTTATGAACACTTAAGGGGTCTGTTCAACCCACTACAACTCTTCAGTGATATCCACATGACAAGTTGGCAACAGATACCTGATAGAACAGCTTGAAATATAGGAAAAAGAAAAAAACAATAAATTACTAAGTGTCAAGATCTTGAGATGTTACTTCATATTTGCATGGAAGGATCATTTCTGGTTAGGGCTGGGGGTCCCATAGATACATGTTGACGACCAGCAGCAACTGGGGTCTGGGAACTGGAATCATTAACTGATGGTCCTACACTGTGGGAACACAGAGGGCTTCCCCCTGCTGTTTTCATCATAAAAATGAACAAAAAAGGGTGGGGTCATAACAAGGGTCAGTTCTGAAGCTGGAAACCAGAGACTGGAGCATAGAGAATCTCTCAGAACTACTATGTAAAAAGCCAGGTATTTCTATGTCAACAAATTGAGACTGAGAAATCATTTTAAAAATGTTTTCCACATATCTTGACTTTACACTATTCACCTGGAAACAATCAGGGGCAGAAATGAGAGTACAAATCAGCAGTAACCCTTTTGCAAATCTGTTTGCAACATTTCAGTTCCAGTTCCAACATTTAGTCTTTTTCAGGTCACATCTGACATCCATTCTATCTGAAGGACCTGAAATAAAATTCAGCTCTATCAGCAGATTTTTACTGACATTTGCTTCTCTTGCACAGACATTACAAATAATCTCAGAGTATAAGTGTATCAGTCAGGAGAAGCACATACAATTAGTTCTATGGCATTATATGAGAAACAGTGGGGGGAGACAGTTCCGATTACCAAGAAAAATAAAGTACAATAGGGAGGTTGAAAAAAATCTAGAGAGGCTGAAGTGATGGTAAAAGAGTTGCAGGAAGTACCAACTGGTTGTGTTCTACATGTTATATTTCTCTGCAAGACAGAAGTACTTTGTCCTAAAAAAAAATGCACCCAGACCTACCTAGTATCTCCTAAAACCTTGTGGGGCAACGTGTTATTATCCAGTGGAGCCTAATTCTTGAAGAAATGCGGCACGTGAGCGAGAGAACATCGTATTTACACCCCAACATGGTGGTGGGAGCATCATGGTGAGAAGCAGCTCATCTTCAAATGCAACAAAAGTTTGTGTTAAGGTGGGAGAAGTTGTGAAAATTTCAAAAAGCAAGTGCAGATGTAAAACCTTTAGGTGACTGCTAGAAAGATGAGGACAAAGTTTGGAAACATACTAAACCTCTGTCCAGAAAACAGAACCGCACCCGTCACCTGAAGACAAGAGTGGGTTTTCGACAAACTCCAAAGAAAACTAAATGCAGAAACTGATCTAAAGGAGGCTTTAGCAATGATGTGCACACTACTGCAACTAGGCCATAGCAGGGATTTCCTTCAAACGTTTCTTTTTTGTTTTAATTAGTTAACTTGTACAACATAAACTTTTTTTTTTTGTTTTTTTTTTTTAAAGGAAATAGTATTAAAATGATTCCTCACAAGTCTCAGAAAAATATGACATTTCAACAGATGAGTGACCAAATTCAAGGCTGCGCTCAGGTGTTCGCTTTGGGGTGGATTATTACAAATGAAGTCAGATCAGAAATCTGACTTCTGACGAAGTTAAATTTGATCTCTGCCAGCAACATTTATGCACAGAAAACAACAAAAATAAGAGTGAAATGCTTCACACATAAATAGTAAAACATACACAGAGATGTGAAAGTTTAATGAATGTGAGTTTATGACGAGCATTTTATTGTCCACTTCTTCCACTTTGCTGACTAAACACTATGGGTGTCCTGGTGTAAACATAAGAGGATTGTCCTCACCTGTAAAACAAGCCTGTCTCCACCACAAAGTTGAGGAAAAAAAAAAAGATTTCTGGAGAAAGTTATGGAAAAGTGCAATTTGAACAATACCTGCTCTGTAGATAACTGTAACTAGTAATGAGATAAGTCTACTCTCCCCTAGATAAAATGCACTAAATATTTTCCACAACAGGCTCAAAACCGCAACACAATCACATTTTAGGGGCAATATATATTTTTCTAAAAAAAAAAAAAATCACAAATTTTGTCAGAATTTGTTAATTATATTAACTTTTTAATTCACAACATGGGTGAGTTTTATATCCTTTCTTGGCTCTTCTTTATGTACATTCAGTTAGTTTGAGAACTGGACTCAGTTCTGCTGTAGCTGGATGACTTTTCATTTAAAACCCACTGGCTCAGCAGTCAGTCGCGTCTACAGAGTTCACTGCCAAGCGCCGGCTGATTTTAAACTGTATGAACTCTGTAAACGTCTCCGTTCTGATAGAAACTCCAGTATTGTGCGACTCGTCTGCTGTGCATCTCTGTCTGCGGGTTGTTTTCACACAAGGCACGTCATCTTTTCCCTCCTTTGCACCTCAGGCAATCTTTCTTTCTCGTCATTCCACCTCACTTTTGATTCTGAAGGATGCAGGGAGTACTGTGTGCTACTTTAATCGCTGTGAGGAAACAAGTTTTGAACAATTTTTCACTCCATTTTATGCAGTTTGAACCGATTTAAAGGCTGTAGGTCAATTGGATGGCTTGCCTGGTAAAGAGGTGTGAGAAATATGAGTAAAATCATTTTACTGCAGCAACATAATCTTGCTATGAAAAATAAACTTGTAATTTATTCAAGTGACAAAAAAATAAAATTAAAAACAATCACACAAAGGAATGACTGAACAAAATCACGGATGGCACAACAACTGAGCTGCACAATACAGTTTTACTATTTCCAATATCAAAATTGGAAAGGATTCTTCTACTTTCTATTTGATAGGATATTATGGTTCAGGCATGTTGGATTCTCACTCTGGATGCCAGTGAAACATCTGGTGAGTTGAAAAGCCTTTTACTGCCCCAGATGCCAACATCTGGTGTATGTTTTAGTGACTAAAAGCTGAGGGATTTATTTTATTTTTATTTAACCTTAATTGAAACAAAATCTCCTTCACAAGATTGTCCTGGGATAAATTTAGCCGAATATCAACCTCATTACAGAAGAAAATTATCCTGTGCCATAGTAAAAATAATTGTCCGAGCACTGAACCTTGTGGTACTCCACTACTAACATAAGTAACAGTAAGGCAATCACTTGTTTTACTGATATGGTAAGCCTAGCTGCCAGCCTCTCCTGGCAGATAGGCTGGTCGAAGAGCCACACTTGGCTTTTCTATACCACACAGTGAGCAGGACGTTAAGAATATCTCTGAAGACTGGATATTGGAAGTCAACAAATCACAATTAACAGCCATTAGATCTGATCTCTATTTGTTTGGGCCAATGTAAGAAAAAAACCATTTATGTCATACTATCACAAATGTAAACATGGGGAGTTTGCTGAACTTGAACTCTCTGGTTTGGACTGAGTTAGATTTGTGTATCATAAAAGAACAGATTGATAGGAAGGAGACCACTTTAATGTTAAGTACACAAGAGAATCTGATGAGGTGATGAGGATTCACTTCTCCAAAGGAACTGGAAATATCCAGTCTATTGTATCAGAAGCTGACAACATTGAGAAAAATAATGGTCAAAAACATATGGCCAATTTTTTTTTTTTGGGGGGGGGGCTCTGGTGTCCTTTATATGAAAGAAGTCTGACAGGAAGTGGATTAGGAGAGGGGGGAAGACATGCGGCAAATATAGTCGGGTCCGGGAATCAAACCCGCGACAGCTGCATCGAGGACTTAATGCCTCCAAATGTGGATCACGCTATCCCCTATCCCACTACATCACACCCCCAGATGACCAAATTTACACAAAAATATTTTCCCATGTCATCCCTGTCCTCAAAAGTAACCCCAATAGAAAATGTTGAAAGGAGGACAGGGTTTTAGACAATTTTCAATAAAACAGGAATGGTCCAACATCTTTCGGTTTGTATGCTCCAACATTTAACCTCCAAATGCTCACCTACTGTCAAAACAGACATTTGGATGAATTGCTATCAACAGCAATGGCAATAATTGGGCCACCAGTGATTTTATTCAAATTAATTATGAATGTAGATCAATAAAAGCACTCAAATGATGGGTTGAAATTGTTCACATTTTCAGTGAGATTTTGTTGCTGCAATAAAACATGCATTTTAAGGCTATTTTTTCACATCTATTCAGGAGCTGCCAACAACTTGTCGGGTTCCTACTTCAGAACTCTGAACCTGAACAAGGGGCAGAACAGAAATCAAAACAATGACTTCCAGAGTGAATGCGAGTATCCTAGTGCCTTTTCCTTTGGTTGCAAAACAAAATCCAAGGCCTTGCTTTTGAGACAAAGACCGAGGTGCTTTCTCTAACCATTGCCATCAAGCAGATTGTTAGCAGTGCTAACTAGTGTGCAGGTGCTGCTGTTTTCTCCTTTCCTTCTCTGATCAGGGCTAGGGTTGCACCAACTCTCTGTGGGGTAGGGAGGTTTTAACCGTTCAGGAGGTAGACAACCAGCTCATAGGTGCTCATCATGATGGCGGTGTTAGGGATCTGGCGTACCAGGTGGGTGGTGAGGCCGCGATACAGGGCGCGGTAGCCCTCCTCTCTGGGTACTGTGGTTAGAGTCTGGAAGAAGGAACGATACTTGGTGCCCTCTTCTCGTAGCCTGGTGCGGATTACCTCTGCAAATTAAACGATTTGGGTAAGTAAAAATTTAAAAAAGGATTGTAATTTAGCTTTAGTTACTTATAATTGATCTCCAACTCTCACCATGGGGATAAGCAATAGTTGTGGCACAAGTCTTGGATGTAGCTGCAGCAAGCATCATCCCGACAAAGTCCGAAGCATCTTTTGATGCCTCTTCTTCTTCATCCATGTTCTGCGGCGTTTTGGCCTCCAAGAGGCGCCGCTTAATGTTTTCATAGATAACAAAGTGGATCACAGTCTCTGAGATGCCGGCGTAGGATGCAGACATTCCCCTGTAGAATCCACGAAAGCCGTCTGCTTTATACACCCGACGAATGCACTCCAACGCACTCATCCTCCGCTCCCCTCGATTCCTGAAAAAAAATAATAAAAAAGAGGGATGTGGAATGAAGTGATTTGTATCTGGCATTTGATTTGTATATGGCAGCAGAGGCAACTCAAAAATAAGCACAAGCAAACATAGATAGCAATACTTCAAGCAAACTTAACATTTACAGACAAAGTTGGGCTTTTCTCCATTTTAAAAACATGCATTTATTTTTTGTTCAGTTTTTGATTAAAAAGTGCTGTGAGTGTGTTCTTCCAGCAGATGGCCAATTTTTGAATCAGTATACTCTAGTTAATGATCGTTAAATTAGTTGATGATTATTTCAATTATTGATTCACTACAATAAATCGCCGTAATCGTTTCAGCCCCAGGATCTTTTCCTCTTACTATTAGATTTTGTTTAATTGAATATCATTACAGAGGCACGTTTAATGCTTGCTAATGAGCTTCTTTTAACATGGTGCAATTACCCAATATACAAGTAACAAATCACAGAAGTGATTCTTATAAATGGCAAATAAACTTTTGGTTTAAGGCTTTGCATAGTCATTTTGAATGAAAAACGTGAATATTTTAAGCAATCATAAAGAGGAAAAACAAGTCAAATGTTGTCCCCAGCAAGAATCAGCAAAGCCTTAAGGAATTTAACATTAATTAAAAAATAATTAAAAATATTTTTTTAAAAATCAAAAAAATTCAGAAAACTCCCACAAGTCAAAATCAAAGCTGCTAGTGTTCCTACCAAAGTCATTCTGTAGTTTCTATATCTGCCATCTCAGTGTAATGTTTACCTTGCATCCAACTGTAAGCGCGTTTTTATGAGCCATATTGGATTTGTTGCAGTGATGGCTGTAAAACCTAAAGAAGGAGAAAAAACAGGAGGATTACACAACCAGAAACTTCTCAAATATAATAAGCTATGTTTTAAGCTGCCATTTGTGATATTTAGCGATACTGTAAAATCACAGCAATATGTAAATGTTCTTGTAGCTGCGTCCATGTCAGCAATAGAATAAAATGGTGAAAACTTGTTTTAAAACTACATAAATCTAAGCTCTATAAAGGCAGCTTATAGAAGGAAATACAGCCTGTTTATAGTCCATCATGTGTGAGTAGCAGCATGTCAGGGAAGCTGTATTTAACTGTAATAGCTTTTACAAATGAACAATTAAAACATAGTAATGGAGGAGAGGACAGAAATACTGAAAGAGAAAGAGAAGAACCAGGTACAAAAAGAGAGGCACAGATCTGTGGTGAGTACTCACGCAGACCCAAGTAACTCCTCACAGATGCAGCTAGAGACCCCTGGTGGTGCGGGGGTCTCATGCCCTTGCGAGAGGAGAGCTACGGTAGAGTAAAAGCCTAAAACAGACACAGGCTTGTGTGTAGCAACATGACCGGCATGCAACCATTTGACTCCCCATTCCCCACAAAAACACAGGAATTAACCCACCACAAACCGAACAAAAAAAAAGAACTAAGAAAAAATGATCACCCTCAAACAGATCACAAGAGAGGAACAGGGACAGCTGGACAGTGCAAATTACCTTCTAAATCTTCTGCCCTCTAATATATTTCTCCAGCATTTAGGTGCTTTGTTCATCCATTTTTATTACCATCAAAATAATTTTGCAATACATCTTTAATGCCATGCTGTTCTGTTCTGCACAGATTAAGCTAAATGTGAAGTAGAGATAAAAAGCAGAAATTAAATCTTATTTATCATGGACCATGTCATAAGAAAGCACTGTGCTCAGACTGCAGACACCTCATCCAGTTCTGCTCTCACAGTGCAAACACTAAAGAATGTGTGGAGTGAAACTGAAAGGGAGACCCAGTGACACATGCCAACCTCGACTAGGCTTTTGAAAGACCAAAGTTACGGTCCACTAAAAGTATCGGCGGAGTCCACTTTCTGCTTCACCCAGTACCACACACAAAGCTGTAGCTGTCTGACTGTGTGACTGACAGATCAGGTTTTTACAGAAGGATTAGAGTCCTTCAGAGCAGAAACCAACAAAACACCACTCTACTACTTTATCATTTTTTTTATTTTATCTGTTGCAGTAGAAAAGTTTTAGTAAATACAGTGCTTCTTCTTGTGGTATACCCCACAACTTTTATTGTATTTTTCAGGTATTTTATGTAGAAGACCAAGACAAAGTTGTTTATTTAGTAGCTGGATCTCCCAACTCTGATTTGTTTTGAAAACCATTTCTAATTTTTCTTTCACATCATAGACCAACACAACTTTGCATTGTTCTATCTCCTAAAATTCACAAAGATAAAAGTTTGAATTTGTTATATGAAAAAATGTGAAAAAGGATTTAGAATATTATCCATAAGTCATTATCTGGTTGTTTAACTTAGTTTTGCTTCAGAAAAACAAAGAATTAGTTTTCAGTAGAAAACTAATTCTGTAGCTCTACATAGCAGCAAACAAAACCAAAAAATAAAAACACTGCACTCAAGTCTGATCTTGCAGCACCACAGTTACTAACAGCAACCCAACACTAAACCACACAGAAATCATTTGCTGAAAAAAAAGCTGCTCACTTGGTTGCTGAATTTGACACAGCACTGCCCTGTCAGTCTGATCTCATGTTTACCTGCCATTGCAGCCGACAGCATGTGCACTTGCATGGAGTCCGGTTCCAACACAGCATTCAGCTTCTCTTTGGCGGTGGAGTAAGCAGCAAAGTAGATTGCTCTGTTTGAAGGAAAAGCAACAACTGGATGAGTGGGTGTTTATCTGAATGAGGTCTAAAAAGCTAAGTAGGCCACTTTTTTTATTTCTCTACAAAACAAATTACTTTAAGCCTCCAACTACAAGTCAGGTTCCTAATTACAGGCAGGCAGGAGTTTAGGGAGTTTTAACAATTCGTGAGATGAAACACCAACAGCAGAATTAATTTTCGGCATTTCTTCAGACAAATGCCATTCAGAAAATAAGGCACACACTTATTTTTATGTTTTTTTTTTCATTTTCAGAACAACTGTTTGTGTGTTGCAACATCAATAACAATGCATATTCATCATGTTATAATCTAAAATTTAGCTCTGGAGGTGTCTTCTCTTCCTTTGCTGTGAAAGCAGAATTCATTCATGTAATCAAACACTATGTACTCTGAACAGTGCCACCTGTTCCCCTCCACATCAGCTCTGTGTTATTAGTCCTCACTTTCCTCCTCTCATTAATGTGGAGAAACGCACTGTAAATCGCCGTCTGTGAGTTTCCTAATTACGCGCCAGCTGTTGTTGCCATGTCTCCAATGCGCAAGCTGCTGAGAAAGCCATGAGCATGAACGGCACCTTAATGACCTGCTGCCTTAATGTGTCTGTTTCCAAGTAACCTCAAAAAACCTCGTAAGTGGCTCATAATGACAGCTAATGTACAGAACCCGTCCATGTTAACGAAAACTGGGCATGCCTACTACATGCTACAAACTACAAATAATAAAGCTGTTTCTAACAAAAAAAGATATTTTTATCTGCCTGATTTATCTTCATGTATTAAACTTTTTTTATTAAGCCTTTTTCTCTGGTTTTATTCCACTGATGGACTTTTATTTTCAGCCATCAGGGTAGTGGGAGTAACTCCTCCAGTTGAGCTAATATTTCAGTGTTTGAAAACATTTGTTAGACTATTGTACAATATTTAACATATATTTTTGCTAGATAGCATAAACCAATCAAATGGTTACAGTGGGCAGACGATAACTGAAACATACTTGTTTTTTTTTTTTTTTTTTTTTTTTTTTTTTTTTTTTTTTTTTTTTTTTTTTTTTTTTGTGTGATGCAGCACTTACACAGGCGTTAGCTTAACATGAGCAAGTCCAACAGTGTCAATGGACATAACTGGCCAACAGTGAGATTCTACAGGAAAGATTGAAAGCTTTGGAGTACAAAACTTCATTCATGTCATATTTGATTTAAGTTTTGTACTCTAAAACATCACAGTTCCCAACACAAAACCCTGTAGAACTACTTTAACTACCAAAAAAGCAAAGAAATGAAAAAAAGACAGTACTGGCAGAATTACAATACTAACAAAATTTGTCAAAAAATATCCATGTGATTTAAAATGGGCAACAATTAATGTTGTTGAGGGTATTTATTCAGATAGATGCTGTGTTGACCATTAAAATAGAAGGGAGCTCACCTGGAAGGTGCCACGCCCACTAAGTTTGGCCCCAAGCCTCTGAAGAGAGATCGAGGTCCCTCTTTTTCCAAAATCAGTCTGAGTACAAAACACACAAACACACATATTTATCTCTACAATCACATAACTGTTAAAGGATGAACACATTTGCCAAAAACTATGCACAATCTAAATTAAAACCAGTCTACTCTGTTACAATCAGTTTTTGGTCTAAAATATTTCATTTTGACTCATGATGTTGAACATTTTGTCATTCGATGTCGATAAAAGCATTTGTTGAAGCTATTTTTTGCTTCCACTCTCACACCGCCATGAAACCAAACCAAACTCTATTGAAGTGGCAGAGGAACTTTGACCTTCATGCAAAGCCTAAGATGCATCAGTGGAACAGAATTATAAAAATAGTCTGACATTTTTGGATTCTCCGTCAAGGTCATTTGAACATACAACAATAAACAGACAATAATTTATCAAATATAAGTTCCAACATTATGCTTTGCCCTGCCCTTGAGTTGTTTCTGTTCACACATGTTGGATCTTAATTCCCTGATGCTGAGTCATGCTCTATCAGTAATCTCAGGATTCCCATGAACAACTTTCAATTTATGATAGTCTGTGTTGTCATCTAGCTTAAGCAGTTTTTGTTTTGTTTTGTTTTTTGAAACAATTTGTCCAATTACTGAGATCAGAACATTTGGTTTCAGGATGTGGCCACTTGCTGGGGGACAATGGACACAGCAAACAAAAACAAAAGCCACAATGCGGTGCAAAGAGCGAGTAAAAAAAAGCCGGAGCCAAATGCTTCACATAACAAAACTTGAACTCATCTCACTTTAAGCTTGGTTACAGACTAAAAAAGGCCTACGGATATAGCAGAAGCAGACTGTGCACATTCATAGCTGTAAGTTTAATAGGTCTTTCATCATTTCACATTCTACACTATGACAACAAACAGTATAGTTTCCTGGGATTTTAGTTGATAGACCAACACAAAGCAGAGCATAGTTTTAAACAACAGAAAATCATACACAATTATTTTTACTAAAGAAATGAGAAGTTCTATCATCCCCCTGATCATCTCATTTCAACAGAGACTTGATATCTCCATTTGAAGACAAAACATATTCTGTACTTATGAATCTAAAAGGAAAGAAAATACTCAACTACTCACTTTAGACAGTGCAGGGGGCCTGGTGGAGACACACGGGTCACGCTGGGCCCACTGACGGTACTTAGTTGGACCTCAGACATATAGAGGGTGATGGAGGAAGACTGCAGACGAGTCTTCACCACTTCTAGTGGACACGTCAATATGGCTCCTACAGTGCCCCCACATCTGGATGGCATTTGATAACATATTTCTTTGTAGTTATACATGGTTTAAATCCTATTGTTTTGCAATGCACTTTGGGATATTTCTTGTGAAATTGTGATATGTAAAAGCAAGTTTAGCTGTATTATCAGCCTACACACAAACAAAATGTCAATATTCTACATTTTCTAAGACATGTACAGTGGGATTAAATACTTCAAAGTAAATAAATCTTCATTGCCTTGCTTAAACTGGATCTAGCAAAGAATGAGACATTCAGATATTGCTTTATATCTAAGAACTCCTGTTGGTATGTGGCTTCTATATATTTTTCCTGTATTTTTATGCAATTAGGGCTAATACGTCAGAGGTTCTGACACGTCTGCACATTAAACCTGAAAAATAGTGATTTAAAAAAAAAGAAACATTGGGAATAATGTTGCTTTTACTGATTGTTAATGAAAACGGAAGGCGTGACCACAAGCTAGCCATTTCATTCATATACACAACTGTCATTGAGGTGTCAGCTCGTACGGGTACACAATCAGGGACAAGCCTTTGTAGCTCATCTCTGTCAGGCTGATGTTAAAGCTACACACTTACAGGACTACTTTTAATAACACCTCACTTACATTTACATACCACTGTAATTACTGAAAAGCCTCATCTAGCTGGTGGCTGCTAGCACAGAGCTAACTAGCTTAGCTTCTGGTGTACACGACTGTAGAACATACTCACCCCCCAGCAAACAGATGAACTAAAGTATCTCTTTGACTCATTGTGTATCATATTCGAGAACCGTCCGCGGAAAGCCACACAGCAAAGAAGGGATGTCAAGCCACGGGGTAAGCCTCCCCGAAATGACAAACAGCGACACTGTCCGTCTGTCTTATGTTCGAGGTCAGCTGCGTACAAGAAAACGAGAGTAGGTAGCAGCTAACTGAGCTAGCTCTTGTTAGCTAACGAAGCTAACAGCTTTCCGGTGATAAAGGTGGATGTCGGAGCACAAGCTTAGCGTCTCCACATTCCGAAGCAGGACACTACTTCATCAAAGTGTTCGTATCTGGAAAGTAGCCTGTTAATTCCAGTCTAACACTGCGACTTGCAGAAAGGGGAGGATTCGCTCTGATTGACCTCCCCACGTTTACGTGTTTTGCCTGACTGTGTGCTCAGCGGGTCAGGTCGCAATGTTTATCATCGAATGGCAAGCCGCAAAACAGTGAACGTGATTGGCTGAGGGGTGCCGGAGGCCCGCCCCGTCACTACTCCTTCACGTGATAGCCGCCTTTATTTTGAAGGGCAGAGATCATCGGAGCTGTACAGGCGGTGAGACCAGAGACTGGGTGAAAAGATCTGGGTCAGGAAATCTGACCGCTTCACTGGTTTCGGATTAATTATATTTTAAAGATGAGTTTTAATATTATGCCGAAATGATCTCTTACCTGTAATTTGAAATAGTTGTACAAATTGTTTTTGCTCTACTGTCTTTTACTCAGACTTAAAGCAGAAATATCCGTTCATTGAATTCATGTTGCTCTGTTTCTTTAACAGTCACTGTAAAACACATCTTACATATTTGCATAGTAATCTTTTTATAACCAACTAATTATTTGCATGATGAGACATTTGAACTTTGGACTTTCAGATAAAATGCAGAACTCTCACCTGAGTTCCTGAAAAGAACTGATACAGAATCCTTGTGCAGTTTGAGTTGGCATTTTATTATTCATCAAATATGTTCCATTCATCCATCCATTATCTTTACATTCTTATCCATAGTTGGATTCCCAGGGTGCTGGTGCCTATCTCCAGTGGTCAACAAGGGAGAGGCGGGTCGCCAATCCATCCAGGGTCTCATCTAGATGGACTGGCAAATAGGTTGCATGTTATGATTTTTCTCCTGAAAGAAATTGACTATTGGTTTCAACTGCCAGATAGAGTTCATGATCTAAATTTTTGATACAGTAGCTCTTTAGACAGTATATGGTGGTTGGTGACAACTGTAAGAGAAAAAAAGAGAAGACAATTGAAGAATACTCGCATTTAACATAAGGTTTTCAAAGTGGGACAGGAAAATAAAACTCATACTGCCTTTCATTTTATAATTACAGATGCATTTTAACAGCTTAAGATCATGTGCTGCTACTTCCCATGTAATCACATTACTTCCAGACAATATGGAAGTCAGAAGCAGCACAAGGTGCTGCTGGGGAAAGTTTATAATCGATAGGTTGTCTTCGTTTTATTAGGGAAGCACTGCAAGTCTTCGTACAGACACCAATCCATTTTCTATTTTTACAGCATCTGTCTATCTTTTATATAGTTTATAGGCCAAATGACGCATTTCTTTTAAACAGTTTAATACAGTGAAAACAACAATGGCTCTACTGTTGATATAGATATAACATCTATCTATATCAATAGATATAAAATCTATTGTCTTTAAATAGATTTTATGTTCTTCTTCAAAGCACAGTCTCCAATCTTTACCCCTGCAGCGTTGGAGACAGAGTCGTACTATAGGAGAGTGGTTGGAGGTAGCCTTACGACCCTATTGCCCTACGTCATTTTATGAATCAAATGTCCAGTCAACCATTGCTGTGTATTTTCATGCACACTTCCTGTGTTGAGCTTCAGAAAAATATCCTTTAAAACTATGAAAGCTGTTTTTCTGTCTGTTCTTACCCCCTTTTTTTTTTTCTTTCTGCAGCAAAATAAATACCCCATACATGATCTAGGGTCATATGTGAAGAAAATGTATTTTTGTTCTGTTTGTTTTGGCTGTTGATGCAGAGGCCAACATCTTGGTCACCACGATCTGGACAAATAAAATGTTAGTCTGAACTTTGACTTCAAACATTCTTCTGTGGCTTTTAGTTGGCCTCCGAGGACAAATGCAATCACAGCTAAAAAGATCTGCTGCCAAAATGTTTGGGCACAAAAAAGAATATGTGTTTATGAACAAGAAGGAATGACAGAATATAAAAAGGCCTATTATGCTTCCTTGTGTATGTTAGAATAAATCCATGGTCTACACTGAACATGTTCACTACATTTTTTGCAAACAATCATTTTCAGGTGAGAAATAACCTGGTCACTTCTGCCTAAATATGCTCCTTCCAGAATACACAGTTTTAGGTTTATGTCAGTCTTATGCAAATAAGACTGACACTTTTTGCTGATTTCAGCAAAAAGTGTCTTTAAACAATAATTTTTGAGGAAGTGAAAGAATTGGATATTGATTGGGCCTTTCTGAACGTTTATATCTAAATTATTCTATTTTAGCTCTTGTTGTATATTTAGAACTGTTGTCTCGTTGGGACATGAACCATTTCCTTCAATCTCAAGATTTTTGCAACGATTTACTCCAAGATTGTCCTGGACTTTCCTTCATTCATCTTCCCCTTAACTCCTGGATAATTATCCACATGATAATTCCACCAAGGTTCCCTCGTGAGGTTAGTGTTGTCCTCATAGGAGGCAACACACTATTGTATTTGGCATATTTTGTATGTATCCCAAAATGTTAGGCTTTGGTGTTACCGAAGCAGAGCTTTTTCTTCCATACATTTGCTGTGTTCACCACAGAACTACATGTTGCAAAGACAATACTGAAATTGTCTTGTCAGCAGAATTACCAGCATGAGCTGTGGAAAGTCATGGCTTTGGTAGGTTTGTTGTTCTATCACCCTCTTGCTATTTCCAGATGATGGACTGAACAGAACTGTGTCATATTTTAAGCCTGACACATATACATTTATAACTCAATCCTGCTTTAGGATTCACAGCCATATCTCTGCCCAGTCTGCTCTCACCATTGGTCTTCATGAGAATGTTCCCTAAGAAATCTAAGATTACATCTTTAGTTATAGTGAGATTAAATTAAAGAATAGAAAAGAGAGTTGATTATATAAAATTTTATTCATGGACATAAAAAGGGAAGTGAACGCAAATACACAACACACGTCTTAGATTTATTTTTGTGGACAGTTTTTCAAGACTGCATATGTAAAGTCACAAGAGTAAAAGAGCAGCAATCATGATTTTATTGAGAAGACTTTCCTGGTCTTTAAAGAAATGTGGAAAATTTTAGATTTCTAACAGACATTCAGAAACCCGGTAACAGAGTGACATGCATATTATGGTTCTGCCTTATAAAGCATTTGGGGAATCCCTTAGTTTGACGCAATACCATGCAAACTCTGTGTCACCAAGTTATATTCATAAAAGTATGTAAGTTATATTGTAAGGAGCTCCAGATATTAACTCAGACTTAGGATTTTTAACTGTAGTCAATTGAGCTCACAGCTAAAATAATTAGAGGGCACTACAATTTATAATTAGTTTCTTTTGTGATTATCTTGTCCTGATCTTGGCTGTTGTTAGGCACATTAAAACAATAAGGTGCAATGGGTTCAGAAAATACCCACCCATTCATTTTCAGTCGCTGGGTAATAATTTTCAAAACTGCAGGCTGGAGTGTGGAGCCAGCAGTCAGTGGGCAGGAAAGAGGGTACAACTCATACAACTGTGCAAACACGAACACATATTTTAGAAACACAATTTACCTGACATGAACATGGCCTGTGGCAGGAAGTCCAACTACCCAGAAAAGACCCTGAACCCTTGAGACAACATTGCTAACCAATATGACACCATCAGCCCTTCGGAAAATTTCTTTTTGGTATTTTCAGAGTTTTAAGTTTAGCGCATGTGACCACAGAGTGGTCAGTCATTACAGAGGTGCTCACATGTTCTCTGGCATCTTCAGGACAGTCATTGCATTGCATAGCTGTGGAGTCTGGGATGTGCAATACTGTGCAAAAGTCTTAAATCTTTCCTCATTTTTTTAAGGAGGCACAGCTTGCTTGAGATTCTGGTTTAGAGTCAGATTTTTCTTGCTTTTCTGAAATTCTACCTTTTGTTGACTACATTGGTTGTTCTTTGACTCATGTTAGGTACATTTTGTAAAACAGAACAATAAACAAAAGCATGCAATACTATTTTACATTAGATTTAGATTTACAGATATTTCCATGTCCATTTTTTATTTAGAGAAAAATCATTTGTTACAGTTATAACATAATGCAACCTTCATGTAAAATAGTAGTGAGAAAACTATGTTAAACGCAGAATTCCTTATTTTGTAAACTGAAAGTGAATGCATGTGCTCCACAGCTTGCTTGGCTTGTGATTCATATCTGCACTAACTTAAACAATGGCCTTTAAAAATATTTGCACTCCTATAAGATGTGTGAAAATACATCAGTTAATGTATATTTTATGTAAATGGAAGAATATTCCACTTGGCACTATTTCTTAGTCCCAAGCTAAGAAATAGTTTAATTTGTAAAAGTGATCAGTCACAATCATTGGTGTCCCTAACAATTCCCTTTCTTGTCTCTATCTGTTTGCCTCAGGTTACACATACATCACAGAGTAACACAAGACAAACACCCATGAATGCACACACTCATACCTTACAGAGATCAACTGACCTAGCAGGGATGTTTTTATATAGTGGAGCTGGAGAAAAGTCATGCCTGAACAGACAGACCATGCAAACTCCATGCACAAAGACCCCAGGCCTAGATTTGAACTCATGATCTTCTTCCCGTAAGGCAATAATGCTGCAAATTGCGCTACCTCGCAGTCCTACCAACCAATTCCAATAAAATAAGTTTCACCAAAGAATCTTTGTATTTTATCCTCAACTATTCTCTATTTAAGTACGTTATTATGTTCAAAGGCTTCAGTATGATCAAATATTATTTGACATCATATATCAACAAAACATTAGCATCAGGACAGACTGACTGTCTCACTGTATAAAAGACACAGACAGACATGTCTCCTATTCTTAACCTAATAGACTTTCACGTGGTAAAATAGATACTCACTCCCAAACACATGCATGTCATGCAGGTTGCCATCATCCTCATCTCTATCCCATGACTTGCATTGGTGCTGAGTAGAATTTGAAGGGAGCACGGCAAGGTAAGTGGTTGCACGTTCAAGCAGTTCCACTCAAATGACTGACGTACCTCTAGATATTACTGTGGAAGAGAGAAGATGCCTGTTGACAATGATCCACTGAAAGCCCAGGAGATTCCTCAGTCTGATTCACACTGTGATGGTCACACTCTAAGTCCACGGTGTTAAATGACTTTTCTATAAACAATAGAAATACAGCAGTAGCTACTAAGTTTATTTCAATGACACTTTCATTTTACAGCCTTACTTGTAGTTTCTTTTAGATTCACCTGGGAACAGCTCCCTAACTGAAACCATTAAGCAACATAAAGTCATTGTATAATCAATTCTGGAGGCGCATGTGCATCTGCTTATCTCAGAGCTAAGTCCAAGGAGTTCATCTTTTTTTCACTCACCCCCCATTTCTATATTAAGCAAACACAACTCAGCTCTTTGAATAATCATCTGGAATTTTTGTCTTGGACATTATTCATTTTAAGCAAGAACCATATGTCCTGAACAATGACCCGAGAATACAAACATTTTCCACTTGAGACAAGTCTTTATCAATGCCCCAAGTGCATAAGGAGTTTTGTTTATGTGTTAGCTAAGATAGACATCATGGTAGCACACAGTCAAAATTGCATTTTTACTGTCTTATTACCTCCACATTACAAGTATGAATGACATTTTAAAGAGTTTGTGTTTGCCCTTGGAACTGAGGGCAAACACGACTTATTCCCATCCCAACAAGCCAAAACATATTTTAAAGAAAGTCACAGGCCATATTTTCAATTTAAAAAATGATACAGAAGCAAATACATGTAAGATGTCAGCAGGAGAGCATCAAAAATATGTTTGATTGGTTTGTTGTGGTACAAAACCGCATATAGATACAAATTTTGTGTTTGTTTATTCAAACATGAGCAGACATGAACACCCTCATGCTGTGCCCAAAGCAAACACTACTACCTTAACAATTTTTTAACATTCTATCCAGTGTGAATTTTATTTCTAAATTAACATTGACTTCAATGGCTAAAGATCAAAGGACATTTGATCAACATTATATTGCCCAAAGTATTCACTTTGGAAATTTCATCTCATTCATAATCTACATGGTTTAATGTGATACTGAACCCATCCTCTGCAGCTATAAAAGCTTTATGTTTTAGAGTGCGTTTGACCATTTCATAAATGCCTAAATGAGCTGAAGCATTAATAGTTACTTTCATGTGTATTTAAGGGCCTAAAAAAGAGCTCTACACTGTAATCCTCTCTGCTGCGAACTTTAATCTTGACAAAATACGGTATGGCGAATGTTATTTCCCTGGCAGCTGCCAAACTAGCTTCTTTGTTGGACTGCCAAACAGCGAGAGATTATTATTCAATCCAATAAACACTGCTCCACTCATATGGTGGAAATGTGCTTTATCCCACCACGACTGATCTCAGCCTGTGGTGTTAATGTGACCTTCCTCTTCAAGGTTAAGTTGCTTTTATACCCAACATTTTCTTTTTTGCGTTGGTTACATTATACTAGTGTCATGCCAGAATTTACTGAGCTCCTTAGATCACTCCATCCTTTAACAAATGCTGCAAGAGCAGTCTGCATCCCGAGGCGTCAGAGATTGCATCGTCTGAATTCAATGATTTGGATGGCAGAGCAAATTCTTCCGGCAATATAGGATATTAGTTGGATGGACATCGCCGCCAGCTTACCAAGGTTGAAGCCCTCCACACAGAAAAACAATATTCAGAGATACAAAACAGCTGGGGGGGGAATAGTCATCAACTGTCGAAAAACATCCATGTTAGGTAATTTGTATGTGTTGAGTCTGTACTGTCTATTTATATCAACTGACCACAGGAGAAAGGCACCAGCCCAATTCCCCCTGTGACACTGATCAAGGTTTAGATCAGTATAAAAAAAGTGGATGCCTGCTTTCCTAGCATTCTATATTAAGGAAAATCAACTATTTAGCTGATTAAAAAAATATATTAAAATAATCTAAAATGTTTGAATATTTCCATTGTTTAATTTAGTAAATCAAAGTGTCTGAGGCATTAATACTAAAAAGACAACACATGCATTGCTGTAGATAGTCCAGCAGATGGGGCAGTTAGGTCGGGCTTTTGCCTTGGCCAAGAATCCGCAAACCATATAAAAAGAGCTCGTTCTCTCTGTTGTCAAGTTAGATAAAGGAAGCTACAGCCTTTCTGGTGAACCAAAAAATTTGTTTCAAAATAACCGCTAAGAGTCTTAGTTTTCGGTTCCATTCATTCACAACTGTGCTGCATCCTCTACTGCTAAGATGATCGCCACACATAATTTTACTTGCACACTGTTTATATTTTTTATATTAAAACCATAATTACAAAGTTTAGGTGAATGTCAAGACCCCATCTCATTTTATTTTTACATAATGAAAGGGATCAGGAGTTAACACATATAATTCATATCCTATGATCTTATTTTTTTCTTCATGTACCCTGCTGTGGTTTACTCCTCAGAGACACTTGCTCAACATTAAAATATATGACAATTATGAATCAAAAACACTTTATAATGAGTTTCTGGACAGAAGCAGTTTCTCTCTTTTCAGCTCCCAAAGCTTTTTTAACCATTAAAAATTAGAATTGCAGACACAGTCATCATTCAAGGGCCCTGCTTCATTTAGTTTTATAATGGAAATAATCTAAAATCCTTGTTTTCAGAGCACTAGAAAAGAACCTCAAATGTGACTGAAGAAATTTCAGGCAGATTTATTTATTTATTTTGTTAATTTGTTTTAATGATCACTTCCGACTAAGAGTGGACTCTTAGCTGTTCATTCTTGAACATCAAAGCAAGAAGCCTCTTCTTTTATTTTGAAAGGACGCCCCCGGAAGTGTCATTTTGCACTTTGATGCCGCTGTCCGCTCTCTGCAGGCAGTCAGGTGTAACAGAGAAACTAGAGCGCTGGATTTGAGTAGCAGTCGTGCTTGACCGAGTAACTACGTGTGGATCCGTTACTGCAATCTGCAGGTAAAGAGACCCGTTATTGATGTCAGTTTGTGTTTTCGAGCTTTATTATCTTCTGGTGTTTTGACCATGTTCTGCTGCAGTGTGCACGGTTGTTGATGTGGCATTTTTTTTTTTTTTTTGTAATTGGCTCTGTTCCTCCATAACACAAAGCCTTTTGTCGGCGCAGAGTTTCTCCTTATATTAGGTGGAAGCAACAAGTATCGATGAGCAAAGTTGGCGGAAATGTTCATGTGCGACAAAATAATTCAGGTAATTAAAAGTCCGACGCTCGACTGCGCCAGCGCGGTATGCGGGGTAAAATCTGACGGTACAGATGAGAATGATAATAAACATAAAAGCTTCATCAGAATGGATTTTGAGTTCATTCCGTCAATGTAGATTCACCATGAAAGGAAGCCTGTGACTTCTGTTGTTGCGTCTCGGTATGATAATGTCCTCAGCGGAGGGTGACGTTCATTAGTGCAGCGAAGTATAGTGAACGTCAGCTAGCTAACTGCTAGCTAACTAGTTAACCAGCTGACTGTTCTCAGGAGAGCTTATCGACTCGGTTAACCGTATCGAGTTTCAGTGTTTCTTTAAGTGAAGGAACGACTCAGTCTGAAGGACGGTTTGAGTTCCCTAGAGAGGGAGAACGTTCCTACATTATCCGCATATACCTGTGTGAAAGCTACTGATGTATTTTCCTGTGTCTATGTATAAAAAAAATTCCCTGACTTTCTTTCCTCAAAAATGGCAGTTTTTTTTTCTCTTGCTCATGCGCAGACCGTTCCTTACATTTCATTATAAATTCGTAATATTCATTTGACTGTGCTCTGGTGGTTGTTATCGTGCATGATTCATACTGGTAATTTAACAGTCTCTCGTTAATTAACGAGTTTATTAAGTCATACAGAAGAAACGTAAAACAAATGAACTTTTATTTCTGCTCTTCGTCGTTGATGTCTTGATGATGTGGACGAGTGTGTTCGGAGAACCAATCAGGAAGGTCATATTTATGGTTTTGGTGCTGCAGCTTCACTGCTGAGTGCTGGGCACATTTCTACACCACCTAATGGTAGGCTTTAAGGTCTAGGCCTCTCATTGGCTTTTTCGTTTTGTTAGTTCAATTCATACTTGTTTCTAATTTTGGTCCTTTTTTTCAGAAGTTTCTAAATGGTTTAAATGAGAAGAAATGGTTTAAATCACACACACACATATATACACATTTATTTTTATATGTATTTTATGTAGCCTTAATTGTAGTAGTTTGGAAATGCAACCCATTGTTTGGACTGTGCAACACATTTTAGTTGGGGTAAATAAATCTGTTAATCTGATATAAAATGATGAACAATTATTTGGATTGCTTATGTAAGTGGTTGATATTTAGCATGAGTGAGAGTTTTCCGCTTTATGAAGTCATTTTTAATCACTTACAAACAGTGATTTTTATTCATCTTTATGTTTTACTCTATGTTCTCAGAGCATGTTTTTCTGTTTTAGGATTGTAATTTAGGAGTGTGAGTATTAACATGATCACTGGTTTCAGTGGTAAGAAAGTCTGTAAGGAAGTGAAAAAGTCAGGGTTTACTCTTAGATTCCAGTCATTTTGTTGCACATATTTATCACATGTGCATCAAAACAACAACTGCTGTAAATCAAATGTAGTTTTATGTTTGTGTGTTTATAGGGATGAAACGTAGTCTGGATGGCTGATGGACAGAAACGCCGACCGCTTCCAAGATGCTGGCTCGTAACCGCTTCCTCTTCCTGGTGGTGGTGGGCGGGGCGGTGCTGGCCGTCCTCAGTTTCAGCCTCCAGTTCTGTAAGTCCACCCGTGTGCGTTTATATAAATATACATTTTCTGTTACTCAGGAGCCGTGGTCAGATACCCGTTTTTTAATTGCGGTGTGGAATAATCATTCATGTATATCCTCTCATTGCTGTTTTATTTTAGACATTCCATTCATGCAAAAACAAAGCAGAATTCCCTGTAGAATTCCTATAAATACCCAGCACCAGCAGTGGGCTTCTCTGGACGCTTTGTTTCCCTCCCACCATCTCCGTTATTTGCACATTGAGGTGCACAAAATTGTGTCTTTGAATTGAAGGTGCATGAATGTAGAGCTGACTGAATGCTGGGAAACCTCCAACACTAAGGAAAAGTAGATGAACTGCTTTGCACTGGTGGAAATGTGCAAGTCTAAGAAAAGTAGTGGTTGATGGAGAGAAAGTTTAGAGATCACGATTGTTACTTGGATTCATTATGTGTTGAAATTCACCCTTTTTGTTCTTCTTATACACTTCAGAGTTCAGCAAAGTTTTAAAGTAAATGCGCGGTTTTCCCAGGGCAGATGTGCTATTAGTCACATGCTACTTATGTTTATTTGAAGTACTAAAATGGAATCTATGACTCAGAGCTGCTGTCTTAGACTTCAAAATGTGAGTTTGAGTTATTCAGCTGTTGCAACCTCAGTTTTCTTTTCAGCTTCTTTTGCAAAACAACTAGAATACTGAATTTCTTTAAACCTACCTTTTTAGAGTTGATTTTGAACCTTAATAAATGAAACATTGACCAACATAACTGCTGTGTAACATTGACACTTTACAAAATGTAAAATGTTTAGTGGTTTTCTCTATTATTGACTGTGTGATGTCCTTTATGATTTAGTATTTTTTTGTGTTTTTATGATGCAAAGCACTTTGAACGACCTTGAAATGTGCTATACAAATCAACTTGAAACATGAGTATTTCAATGAAAATCTTCTTATTGAATTGTTTTGCTGGGCTGTATAAGTTAACCTTATACTTTTCAACATGTTCAACTAGGATTCTGTTCCACCAATTCAGATCCAGCATCATAACTGAAGAAACAAAACAAACAACATGAACGTGGAGAAAAGCATGCAAATCATTATTCAAATCCTCATGCAACTGAAAATGCATGTTATATGAAGTGTTTTCACCACTCCATTTTATTCCTATGAAGGTTCCCAGTGCAATATGACAGTTTAAACACACAAATGAAGCTAATGTGCAGAGATAATTTGCACATTATCTCTGCAAATAGATTCTTTAACATAGAATAAGTGTAATTTATAAATGCTGTTTTGGTATTCTTGACAAATCTTTGCCAACATTTACAACGTCTGATTGATGTTTATAAACACCAGCTGCTCATAAAATTATATCATAGTGCCTATAAAAGGGTCCCAAATGGCATTTATACATTTCACTTTTTACTGCAGCCTCCTGCAGTGCATTGGGCTTATGCTCGTTATGCCTGTTGCGTATTTCATTTCAGTGGTTTTGCAGGGGAGAAAATAGTTGCCATAATTTATTTATAAATGAGGAAGAATTGAACCATTATCCAGGAGTAGCCCCGGAGAGAAACAGGGGATTTTCTCTTCATGTTTAATAAATGGCTGTCGTGTCGTCAGTCTGTCTCGTTCTTCATTGCTCTTTCCTCTCTGACTCGCTGCACTTAAGTCTGATCACCTGTTTATTGCTTATTGATGGTCTTTACTATGAAAAGATTGTCCACCTGCCTCCAGGGGACAAATATGATGAAAGGACATGGACATCTCAGAGAGGAGTGGTGGAGCACAGGGTGGTTAAAGTGACTAAAAGACAACAAGATAAACACAAAGAAGTGAATCTGTAAAAGAGAAGGGAATCAGAGCCGTTTTCTGCAGAAGAGTTGGTAGCTTGATGGGCAGGAATAAAGGATAAGCTCCATGTTTCACATTGAGCAATTCATGTGAAATTGATAGTGTTTGATTGTTCTTTTTTTTTAATAAATGCTGTAAGAAACATTTGTACACCCCAGCACCCTCAAGTTAGCATCTAATTTGAATCTTCATTTCAGCAAATAAACCAAAGACGTATTTCACAAATTTCAAAGCAATTTGAACTAAATTTGTTCTCTCCTGTTTCAAAATCTCAAATGTAGACGCTGATGAAACTTGAAATACATGATTCGAAATTAAGTGTTGATTCTTTATACCTTAATTTTGTAAGACCTTGACTGCAGTTTTGACTAAAATTTTTGGGAATGACAGATACATTTTGTCTTTCACAAACTGTCCCGCTTCATTTACTTTACTGTGATAATTTGCAATGATTTTATAATGAGGGATAATATAAAAAAATATATATTACCAAAAAATGATTAATTATACTTTTTTTGTAATTTATAACCAAGAAATTGGTTATAAATTGGTGCAATGAAAAGAAAAGAGCAGAATAGTTACTTCAAAGATCAATAATGCTTGGCTCCTAGTTATCTCTTAGGAAACACAAGCTTATGTCAGCCTTTTACTTCAAACGACTTTACAGTCACTAATGTTGGTATCATTTATTGAATCAACATTAGCTTCAGGGAGGAGTTCAGGGCAGGCCAGCACATGGCAGAATCTAGATGGATCTGGATGAACCAACTTTACAGTTGGTTGGATAAACCAACTTCTGGATCAGATCATTTATCAAAGTGCTTTCCTACCCTCTAATTATAGCTGTGGTGTAGTTAGAAAGCAAGTAGTTTTCTGTTGGTGTTTTTTTTTTTCCATGCCAGATCCTATTCAAAGGTAGGATCTAAGCTTTTCACCATGTTTAGTGTTAAAGTATTCAAATGTTAATGACCAGCCCTCCCTCATCACCCAAATTTTGTTTTTCCTTTGAATACAACCTTCTAATTAAGCCCCCTTTTATTTCTAATGTGATGAAAGAGACGTTCTAAATAGTGCAGCCAAACTTTGTGTAGACCCATGAATGTGTGTGTACTCCAGCTCCCTCTGTGCAGCTTTCCTGTGCTCGCATTCGAACTGAGGATGAGGTCACAAAAGCCCCATTGTGTATGGGACTGTGGCAGAGCTGGACTGGAGAACTTTGGTCAGTCTGCGGAGGCCTGTGTTTGGACGGTGGCTTAGGAGGTGGCTGCATATGGGGAACAGGTTATGGTAGTGAATGAGCTCCAGTGTGTGTGTGTCTGCAGCAGTCAGCTATCAGCATGGTCTCCAGTGTTACCGGGCACTTTGTGTTCTTCTTTTACATCATTTCTGGTGAGTTTATACAAATGTGCTTAATGAACAGTTTTTCTTTCTTTTTTTTTATTGTTTGCTGACTTTTACAGCTATATTGTTGTAATTCTTAAGATGTAGCTCCAGATCCAGGGTTTTGGTAAACTTCTGTGCCTAGCTGACCATTTTCCGTTGGGTGTAATTTATTCGCCCTGGCAGACCACAATAACTTGATTTAGGTAGCCAGTGAGGAACTGATGCTCATACAAGTATGTACCAGTGTATCAGCTACTTTTAAGATTGAAGTGTTAATGTTACTTTATACTATAGGCTTTGTCAGCTGTTACAGTTTTATTTTAAAACTAGCTAAAGAAGGCAGCATGAATCTCTGTGTGCTTATCTTTATCAAACCACTATTTTTCGTTTGCTCTACAAAAAGAAAGCATTATGTGCTTTATTCTTTACTACTTCTGCTGTTGGATATATTGCTGTAAACACATATTTTAATCTCAATTTGGATACATAAAATAAGGAGAGAGCAAGTTTTAGGTTAGCAGTCACTCTGTAACATAGATGCACCAATCAGACCCACCTTTGGAAAGGTGGAAGGATGCTCTTTGAATCCACAACTCAGACATAAATGCTTATTAATTCCAGGCGCAATTACTGTAGTCGGTTAACTATGCCTGTCACAATAGACAGTAAATCAATTAATCGCACAATAAATTACAAGAAACTTTAAAGTTTGTCTCTTTTCTGTCTATCAAAACTGATAGAAAAGTTTTTCCAAAGCACCAAAGTCTGGTGCTTTGGTGTCAACTATCAGTTTTTTGAAAGACAATTTTGTATGTATGTCTGGTTGTATGTATATTTTTCACTCTTTTGGCACAGTGGGCAAGCAGATACACCACTGACCATACCTGGTTAGAAATCAGGGCAAGAGAGAAATTATTGTTGGCACAAAATCCTTGTGGATTTTAAGCTTGTGAGAAGACAGACAATTTCTGACAGCATACAGAGTGTTCTTATTCTTTCAGAGTCTGATTTGGGCCTGAATGTTGCGATGATCAGAACTACATAATCTATTTAGGTCACCATCAAAGCAGGAATGTGTCTGTTCTTTTTCTAGCTGGAAGCAACATTGAATGAAACTTAGGCATTCAATGTTTTGTATAATTTACTTTGAAACCTGACTGTCTACTCTAAAGTGTGTGTGATGTGAGATTTAGACCTCCGGCTCTCCGAAAGGGGACATTGGGGCTGTGCTACTTTTTCTTGGATCTTTGGAAAAGCTGGTTTAAGTTCCCACAGCAGCTCTGTCCTTGTTACACCATGGTAACAGTGAGGTCTTAAGCGGGACACAACTGTTGTCATGGACGTGAAATGTGGTGGAACTGTGGCAAAGTCGTGTTTGTCTGCTACTCTATCCATTAAAAAAAAAAAATAAATCTTGCTACTCTGCTCTATTCTCCCCTCTATTTCTTTCTCCCTTCACCTGAAAATATCTGTACGGACTACCAAATTTAGCCTCAGGCTTTTTACCACAGATTCCTTCCTCTCTAACGTTGTTACTTCTCCCTCTCTCACCTTCCTCGCAGTGAACCTGATTCCCGTCTCTCCCATGCTGGATGAGCAAACAATCCAGGCTGCAGATGGAGGTTTCAGAGGTCTTCAGGCAAAAAGCAGAAAGCGAGTCTTTCCTGTGCATCACAACCAGGAGCCTGATCCTTTTTTTGAGGCCTACAGCTACTGCAACACCCCAAACCGCACCGAACAAGCCTGGGAAGGTAAATGCATAAACAAAAAGTAACTATAGGATTTATGAAAGACCACCGAATGCCGGGAAATGCAGGCTCCTTTTTATATTCAGTTTTGAGACCAGCTAGTTTTTAAAGCCAGAATTATAAATAGATCATGTGGAAAATTTATATAATTCAGTCACAGCATACTTTTAGTGTGTCAGAACTCCAGGGATGTGTTAAATTTGGTAAAGTCAATTCCTTGTAATTGCATCATCCGTATTTTTACATTGTGGAGCCGTTTTTGTGTAGGTTGGGGTCAGTGGAAAAGATCCTGCATTGCTGGAGAAAAGATACATAAGCACTACAAAATGCATTGTTTTTCACTAAATGTTGCTTTTGTTTACACAATCTCCTTTTTAACTTTTTTTTTTTAATATATCTTCTCCAACTCTTGTAAACTCAGACACACACAGGACCAACTCTGAATATACGTCAGGATGCTACTTCGGTATTGATCAGATGCATGATTATGTGTACAAGATATTTCTAATGAGGCCATTGTTGTAAAATTCATACCAGATGTGGGCAGCAACCCGAGTAATTCATACATTCGATGAAATCAAATCATATCACTTCACATATGTCGTTGCAAGGGAAATAATGAAATGAAACGGGGAATAAGTATTGAACACACTCAAAGAGATCTCTCTCTCTCTCTCTCTCTCTCTCTCTCTTTTTCCTCACAGTGAACCTGATTCCCACCTCTCTTGACTTGGTCATTTTAGCAATTTTAACCTTCTTTCTCTGAATTTAGAGTTTCCTTCGCCTTGTTTTTATTCTCTATTGTCATTGTCTGAAATTTCCATTTATCATATCTTCAGATTTCTGGCATATTTCTCCATTCATCCATTTTCTGTTAACAAAGGAGTCTTTGTTTGAGTAAAAACAATCATACCGCTCTTTTCAGTATTTTAGTTGTGATACATTTTTTTATAGGGCATCCTTTATTTTATATATTCGGCCTTTTGGTCCTATCAGCAAAGTCAAGCGTAAAATAAAATAAAATTTCTCTCGAGATTAAAGATTGGAAAGTAAATGATAGCAGAAAAAAAGTCAATTTGTGTTGCCACAGGTCACAGCCCTGCGGACTACAAGCTGCTATCTGTTCATGTGATGATTCGCCATGGAGACCGCTACCCTCTCTACGCCATCCCAAAGACCAGACGTCCCAGCATTGACTGCACCCTGTCTGCCATTAGGTACACAATAACAGTGAATACAATCACAATTTGTATAGGATGTCTCAGTGAATATACAGTACGGCTTTGCACGAGTGTTCACATCCCTTGAACTATTTTGCATATTGTGATATTACAACGATGCATTTGAAAGACGACACCTGCACACGTTTTGCACATCTAGACACTGAAGCTACTTCTTTGCAAAGCAGCCCAAGCTAAGTCCTGTTCAAATGGAAAATTTTATGACTCGTCACTTCCTAAGTAGTTTGCATCCTTTTTACCAGCGAAAGTATAAATAAAATTTATAGAACACCTTTGTGATGCCAGTAAAGCTCAAAAAGACCCTTATTGGTAGACACGAGTGTCACAGAGAGTGAAGCCAAGTTGGACCCAAACAAATGTTTTTATTTACTTTAGGTGAGTAAAATTAACTCTTAGGCACAGTGTTTCTTCTAAGTTTACTTTTTATGTGAAAGTAGCAGAGCATGAGACACAAACATATGTCAGAGCTTTTAATATTCGCCCATAAAAACTGTCGAAAAGCTGCATGGGGGAAGTACAGGATGCAACCCAGTTTTACGACTGAGAAGTATCTCATAAGTTGTCCTAAGACCAGCCGCAAATGATTAAAGAACAATCTGCTGGAGATTATAGAAAGGTTACACACTTTTGCAAATTCCTTTTTCCCTGGGGTGAGAAAAAACTAAACTAACCTTTATAGGAAGAACAAACTGGTTACTACTTATGTAAAAATAAGAAAACATCATTATTCTAACACTCCAGCTGAATTTAGTTGAAATCATAATCTGAATGAGGTGCATTAACTGGATTTCTGCTCACAACACTGTTACCAGTTGGTTGGCTTCTCAGCCGTAATGCATGTGTCATCAGCAACGGGTGTGGTATGGCACATCTGCGCTTTTGTACAGCTGGAAAGACACAAACAAATGCTAACAAACACGTCTTTCATCATTGTGTAGCCATTGATGCACACTTTCTGCCTCCCAGAGAGGTAGTGTGGGAGGAAGCAGCCAAAGTGCTAAAAAAAAATCCCTTATCTCTTTCCACTCACTGAACTCTACTCTCATTTTGTATCTGCAGAGCTTTGTGTCTGCTCACACTCACTCCGCTGGTTCAAGAGGGTCAGATAAGATTTCATAATAATGAGCAGTTATTAAAAGCCGGCTCTGCTTTCTATTTGAGCTTAGGACATCTGAAATCGGCTAGTTTTTCAGAATTTATTTCCTTCAAATAAAGCAAACTGAGTAGGCACATTATAGTTTAAAAATAAATAAATAAGCAAAGGAAACTAATCCAGAAAATCGGCCCATATGGTCACCAGATTTTCTGAGACAAATCCTCTTGACGCCGTGCACCTGAGCTCAGATTTAGCTAGCGACTTAATTTTGCACAGAGCAGCACATCTGGACAAATCACAAGGAGACTTTTATCTGTAAATCCACAGGCTAGAACGCTACAACATGCATTCACTTGATCTAACTTTCTGCTGTTCCATCTTGACATTGAGAAGGTCGATTAAAGAATTAAAAAGCTGTTTTTTGTATGTCAGTTGATTCAGCTTTTCTGCAGCTGAGAGCATTGTTGAAAACGGACAGGCAGTGAACTCTTTTTATCTGCTGTCTAATAGCACAGGAGACCGGATGTCTGACAGAACCAGTTCCAGCCAGCGAAAATCAAAAGCACTGAACTCTACTCTCATAGTTCTGTGACCTCGCATCAGAGTTCTGCAAGAAATGCATCCTAGAATCTAAAATGCCACAAGAGCTCTTAAATTCCATCAAACGGCATCCAGACCAAAAAGCTCTAAGAGCAGAACTTAGGCTGTTTCTCAAGTGTGTGACAAGTTAAAAAATTGAGAGCTATTGCTGTATGCTGTACTGTAATTGCCAGTATTTCCCCAATTAAAGATGAAAAAATATGGATTTTCCTGATATAAAAATATCAGATTTTGCAAAATTAGATTAAATGTAAATTCTACTCCAGTTCTGACCAGCATTGTTGCTGTGGTGGACACTTCCATATACACTCACGCTTGTGAAGTATGGAGTGGTTGTGTAAAACAGACGCAATGTGTAGAAGCATTTCATCAGTTTCGTTCTTGTGAAGGTTATAATTAATGACATGGTGCCCTCAGAAAGACAAAGTGTTATTCTGATTACACCATATGTCACTCAACTTAATCCACAGTTTTTACAACATCATCTTTGGCCATGAATTGTTAATTCAAACAAATGTTTTACAAGGTGTGGACAGAATACGAGTCAAATACGAGTTACCATTCTTTTGGCTCATACGCTAAGAAAGCTGAATCACTACTGGAACTAATTATCATCTATAAGACTACATCAAACAATCTGCAAATATAAAATTCAAAAACCATGGTAAGCCACTAGGTCTTCTTATATGAAGAACTTTATACTCACAAACAATGTTTCTGATCTTGTCATGGTTCTGGCTCCAGACTTTACTAGAGACATCTGCTGTAGCTGTGGAGCAACATGTGTTGCATTTCCATCTCTCAGCTTTAGGTAGTGACTTTTCTTAAAGCCATGTTTCCATTTTTTTCAGAATCGTTTGACAAAAAGTGTTTCTCGTAGTCGTGCTGTTTTTAGTGGGATAGAAGGGCTCATGTTGTTGAATCTCACTAACTGTTTCTGCATTTTTCTGCTTCGGAAAAACAACAGAATGGTCACATTTGTCATCTATTACCGTACACACTTTTGGTATTTTTAGGCTTTCTAGTAATGTATTTCCCTTTTGTTAATGACTCTGTGACTTATGATGTCTTGTTTCTGTGGGTTGCACTTAAATTAATCAGAAGACTGAAGTCTTGAGAGGGTGGAAGTCTTCCACCTTCCATACATTCTCCAAATCCCTCATAGCTGTTAGCTCTAAGCTTCACCACAAGCAGATGTTGAGAGGCAGAGATGTGCAAGGGTGAAATTTCTGCTTCACCACAATGAAGCCAACTAATTCCAATAGTAGTAGTGGGTATGACTAGAACTGATGTTGTAGGTAGTTCCTTCTGTTTTCTTTGACCAAACTGTGATCAGAAGCACACAAGCTTGCATATGCTCTCAGAGAGATCGTCACAGGGAGCAGGAGATGTGTGTGTGTGTGTGTGTGTGTGTGTGTGTGTGTGTGTGTGTGTGTGTGTGTGTGTGTGTGTGTGTGTGTGTGTGTGTGTGTGTGTGTGTGTGTGTGTGTGTGTGTGTGTGTGTGTGTATGTGTGGCTGTACATTTTGTGTTTGAATGCTCTGGCACCAGCCTGCCGACCCACTGTCTCCATCTGCGGTTAACTGAGCTCTTTCCATCTGCAGGGAGCATCTCCTCTCTTTCCTTCCCTTCTTTCCCATCAGTTTCTGAATGTTTTTGTCTTTTTATAAATTCACTACATATGTAATACATTCTATTTAATTCTTCTGCATTTCCAGCACAGCCTCTCTCTGTTAATCCCACCATTCACATTATTGTTTTTTTTTCGTTTTGTTTTTTATCTCTCCACCCGTCCCTTCCTTCCTCTTCACTAATTTATTCCCATCCTATCCAGTGATAATAATCCCTGCTTAATGTAATTGGGCTCTCTAATCTTCAGCTGGCAACAATGAACCTAATAGAGGCTTTTTGTCCACTGTGGCGTCTCTATTCTCGGACATCCAGTCTCCCGGTGCAGCCAATTAAATCTGAATTGTTCGGTTCTCCTCAAACCAGTCGGATCTGCTGCTGACAGGGCAGAAAATCGCTTCTTTCAGCACATCCACACTCAGCCCACACTCAGTGTGTTTATGATAGTGCTAATGAATAAGAGTATGATGATGCAAACAGTGTAGAATGGTGACGTGAAGATTGACATGACCTGGCGGCACAAAAAGGCATTCATTGTCCATTTTTGATGTAGCAGGTGGCTGTAGATGACAGATTAGGCTTTGCTGTGTAAGGTCAGACATGATGGTAGGTTTTATTTGATCTATTTTTATGGCTTGTTCTTGAATCTCTCTGTGATCACTATGGAAACTGTGCGTGCGCACCCACTCTTAATCTGGGTGAGTTGAGCTGCAGCTCCCATAGATTCTACCATATTAATCTATAATCTTCAATCCTCTTTAATCTTCTGGATCATTGACTGCTCTTCTTGCTTTCCTCATTCCTGGATGATGATGTGTGTATCCTGGGATTTGTGTGTGTGTGTTTATTTATTGTCATGTGCCCTGATGTCACAAATTCATTCATCGTTTTATATCTACATGTTTAGTTGTTTTTTTTTTTTTTTTTATCCCACACACATTGAGGTATCCTGTCAAAGTTCACATCCTTGTGTTAAAGAGACACCTGCTGGTAGGTTTAGGAACTGGTCACATTCCCCCACTTACTAATCGTTTTAATGCACTTAGCATTTTTTACTGCATTTATTATTGCAATTAAAATTAAAATATTATTAAAATAATACTTGCTATTTTAGTTTTATTAATTTGCTTACATTTTAACACCAAGACAGCAATCCAAAGTAATACAGACAAAAGGTAACTTGAATAAAATACTGCACCATTTTCAAATCATAACATTTATTAAAGGGGGAAAAAATATATCCAAACCAACTAATCCTTTCTTGGAAAATGGATCCTAAAGCAAATAAATAGTTGAGTTTATTAGCAACAACTAATATTTTATTTTTTAAGACTGGCTGTCTTTTACATCGCTGTAAATGAGATTTGCTCCTCCAAACAATGTGGTCAATCAGAGTCATTAATTCATGAAGGCAATTAATAACTTTTACACAGAGCCAGGTTATTTGGAAATCATCATTCAATTGTTTTTCCTGGTCTACTGATTATCTAAAGTCGCCAATAATTCTTTTTAATATGCTAATTCATATTTAGTTATTTACTCCAAAAAGCATCTTTCAACCTTTGTATGATTTGCCAACCACAAAGAAAAGAGTAATGGGTCAATCTCAGCATACCCACACTTATTTGAATACAACCCAAATGCAGTAAACCATGCAGCAGAACTCCTATATGTGAAATAAAACTCACCATGCATGCGACTGACAATAATCACAGTAATCACGTTTGATGCCATTTTTTTCTTTATCTTCCCAGGCAGCCTTCTCATCCTCTGCTAACCTCCTTCATTAATCACATGGGCCAGGGGACCAGAGGCCACTGGGAGGCACAGCTGGGCTCCATTTCACGTCTCCCTAACCACAGTGTCTGTGAGATGGGAGAACTCACGCAGACAGGTGTTCAAACCAGACAGCTATAAATCTCAGCCCAATGTGTTGGCTTCCTCTATGCTCCTGTTCATAATTAGTAGTGGTGTCCATCAATTAAAAAATTTAATCAGATTAATCAGACTCTAGCACTGATTAATCACTATACTTAACTTTGTAAGTTTGAAAAATGTTAAAGAATGAGAGTGTTCTCATTTTCCAGCTTGTCATAATTATGAAGGGTTAATAGTAAGTTTGTTTCAAATGTTAAGTTAAAACATTTAACTATGAGTTTCTTGTGCTTCAGTGGAAGGATAATTCACAGTTCCAGTTTGTACGTAGTATCTGTCTTGTGGTGTTTTGTTAAAGTGAGAACAGCAGTTTGTCATCTATTCACTCAGGTCTGCAAGATCATGTAACATACTGCTGTAAACTAGATAGCCCTCTCCAGAAGAGAGGCTTCTTACTCAAAATAGGTAATGCGAGTGATCTGCATTATGTGATATTAATTTTTAAAAACTTTTACATATGTCACGTTAATGGATTAACGTTGACAGCCCTAATAACTGAATAAAAGTATTTGGTTATGCCGTAGAAATCTTTTCTTCTTAAAATCCAAATCTTTGTTGTTCTCAACAGGTGTTGTTCAGCACCTTCGGAATGGGCAGCTCCTCCAACGTGCCTACAAGCACCACAGTCTGCTCCCCTCTGATTGGTCGCCCCGCCAGGTTTGGATAGAGACTACAGGAAAAAGCCGAACCCTCCAAAGCGGAATGGCTTTTCTCTACGGCTTCCTCCCAGATTTCGACTGGACTAAGGTGACTGTGCGTCATCAGTGGAGCACATTGTTTTGTGGCTCGGCATGCGAATGTCCTGCCAGGAGCAAGTTTCTGGAGGAAGAGCAGAGGAGGCAGTATCGCCTCAGAGTGGCTGATTCCAACCTGGAGAGGACTTACATTGACATGGCACGCACTTTAGGTGTTCTCACTCGCCAACTCCGAGCTGCAAACCCTATTGACTCGCTGCTTTGCCACCTGTGTCACGGCCTTTCTTTCCCATGTGTTTCCAGTGGAGATGGTGGTACTGGTGGATGCCTGACTATGGCACAGTTTGCGGTTATTCGGCAACAGCAGCTGGACGATGAAGTAGATCGGAGAAGATTTGGGGCCTATCGTAAATACGCCATCCTGGCCATGTACCCGTACCTCAACAGAACTGCTAACAAGATGGAGCGGGTCGCGAGGGCCAACGAGGAAGGCCGGCAGCCACGTCTGGGTGGGGAGGAGGTCTTCACCCTCTCCTCAGGTCATGATGTCACCATTGCCCCGTTGCTAAGCGCCCTGGGACTGGAGGAGGCCAAGTTTCCTCGCTTTGCAGCAAGAATTGTCTTTGAAATGTGGAAAAGCCCGCCAACACCAGGCCAAGCAAAAAACAAAGCAGGAAAAAGTGAGAAGTCAAAGTCAAATCGGAAAGATGGGGAAGTGTTCATCAGAGTGCTGTACAATGGTGAGGATGTGACATTTCATACTGCTTTCTGTCATCCCAGCCACCGCCACATCAACCAGCCACTCTGCCCTCTAAAAAATTTCCTAACCTTTGTCAGGAAGGATATATTCAGTATTGTCAATGCTACTTCCTACAGGGAGGCATGCTACAAGTTCTCCGGGTGACAGATTGAGAGCAAGGTCGCAGGGTAAGGACGCCCAGCCGTCATGTGGTTGTGATTCCCCAGATTCTTACGTTTAAGAGAAGGTGCTCTTTCATGCCACTCATCATATCTGGCATGTCTCAGAATATGGTCCTTCACATTCCCAACATTTCCACTCACAAGAGACAAAAATACACAATCATTTACTTGAGATATATTTAAGAAGAGATACATTTCTGAACATCCTACAACCTTTGCTGAACCAGCTTTTGTGTCGTTTATGTTTACTGACACCTTCTCTAAAAGATAAATACCTCAAAAACAACTGATCGGCACTTTATTCTGTAACTAAAGGGTTTTGTACATTTTCATGTCCAAATAAAGGCTAGTGAGAAGGGAATGTTGAAAGTACACATACTGGACAGGAATAATAATTACTTGGAAACATTTTGTATGACTAATCTTTTTAAAGAACATTCATCTAAGTAAGGCTAAAGCTAAAGTCACTTTTTGTTTCTGTCACTTATACACATGTTGGTTTGTTGTTTTTATATTTCTGGTTTTGACTGAACATCAATGTGGCTCTTCTTGTTTTTCTTCTAAATAGTAACTGCGGTACATTTTCAGTGTTTTTTCTGTTTTTTTTTTAATCATTGAATGAAATCCCACATTATTTAAACTTTCATTGTTTGTGAATCTAACATTGGTGTATTTTGATCAGACATTTGTCCACATTAAAAATAATGTTTCATTTTCTCTGCGGTCTTGTTCTTGATTAGATTTTAGAGCAAGTTTTTTTTTTTTTCTTGTTTACGATGACTGTCTTACTGCATCAGACCACAACAGCTTGGCTGTTCAAAAGCTTTTGTTTTTTTTACCACCAGAAGATTATGACAGTGTAGATACCTAACAGAAAATGATACTAAATACACATTTTTGAAAAGATTTGGACTTTTTCTTTCTTTTTTTCTCTCTTTCTTCAATTACTTCCTTTTGCATTTTCAAACTCTACTTTGAATTTTGAGATCAAAATGTAAATTCTTACCATTTTTCAACTAGACTTAAAATGTTGATCAGGGGTATACTTCAGGAGTGTTTCTAGTCACTGATCCCATCTCACTATATCTAAAATCTGGTTTTAATATTTGGGAAGAAGTTGCGCCACATCACACTGCCTCTATCTAAAAACATTTGGGACTGACTGAAAGTTTTCTTTATAGTTGCAACCACAATTTTCAACTCTGCTGGTTGACCCACAAATACATTTTTCTTTCAAATGCAGAATTGTTAAAGAAAAAAAAACATTTCCTTTGTGTAAAGGGACTATAAGTGTTGCATATTTGTTCAATTTGATGATTAAAAACTATTGAATACTCACTTTATGAGAAAATTATATTATCTGACAAGCTTAGCCACAGGGGGTCATTTATAAAGAGGCTGTTCCCATAGTGCTGTTTAATGTAATGTAAAATTGAGTGGAAGGAAAAAGTGGTGGGAAATGTAGGCAAGCAACAGAGAATCAATTTATATATTGTAAAAATGTTATTTTTTTTTTGTCATCTTGCTAAACCTGAGGTATTTACAGCAATATTAACTATTGATTAATATGCATTGTCTCATATAAGTCAAACAATTTCAATTTAGCTTCATTTTAACTGAAATGAAATTCAGTTAAAATGAAACTGGGCAGAGCCCATTCAAGACTTTAGACAAGATCCACAAAATGTGTTGTCCATCTACAGCCTATGCTTCTCGTCACCACATATGGACATGTCCAAAACTAAAACAGTTATGCTCTCTGGGCTTAAGCCACTCCTTCACCAGACACATTAAAATAATCTTACCTGTGCCAAGGTGTGGTTTTCTTCTGCTGACAAACTTAAGAAAGTTGCAGATTTCATTTTCTAGCAGCACTTGGCTGCCAAAGGAACCACAGGCTGCCTGAGTTACCATGGTGTTATTGTGCTGGATCAGCCAGCAAATCCATCCAATCTCCACTGAGAACCTGTGAGGCACTTTTAAAAGAAAGCTGAAAGACCCCAGACAGCACTGCAGAAGAGCTGAAGCAACTTGGGCTTAATTAACACCACAGCAAAGCCACAGATCAATCTATTCTGTACAATTTGCACTAATGCTGTAAGTTATGCAAAGGGAGCCCCAACCATGTATTGATTGTACAGTACATGTATGTTCAATGTTTTAGGGTTAATAAAATAAGTTTCTATCGATCCCATGTTATATTACACTTTTTTGAGAAAAAATTTACATTTTCATTAGCTGTAAGTCACAAAATTATCTGAAAAATAAAAATGAATTATTGGAATATAAACCAGGGTGTGAAATGGATCTTTATTGTAGATCACTGTCAGTTTTTGAGCTATATTGTGGAAAAAAATTAACCTTATGATGGTATTCCAGCTTGCCGACATGCCACAAATGTGCTCACTATGGCATTGTGCTCCAGTGGAAGGAGACATGGAAGGTGCTCATTACATTTTAAAGCCACTAGATGGCATACTAGTTCCACAATCCTTGAATAGTCTGGTCTTTCTAATTTAATCAGTTACCCACTTTGTCAACATTGCTGCAGGGGCACAGCACACTGTAAATTTAAATAAATGTAAAAACCCCGAGTGCCTTTTTTCCACCACTACACAAGTCATGTGTCATCATCATTAGGGGCGTAATACAATGCTGACAAGATATCCATTGTAAAGCTCATTTTCAAAAGTGCTTCAGCTTGCTCAGCCTCCGTTTTTCTGTTTTAGGATCCTCCATATCAGGAGTGTATTGACTGAAATAATGCAATAACAAGACCAGCTCGATAAATTACATTTGCAGTATATGGATGTTGTATTTGTCCTGGCAGTATGGGAGTATGGTGTAACTTGCTGGTGAATAAAAGGATTCTCAATTGATGCTGCAGACATCTCAAATGAGATTTGAAGGGCAAAGACTTTTCATTCTGCATTTCTTCAGCTGGAAACAGCCATGTGGTATTTCCAGAAATTGACCCAGCTAAGTGAAACCACTATTACAACCACCAAATTTTATTGTGTTACAAGTGTGGTCTTTAAAATTAACACATCTACAGCTTGTGAAATAAGCTGTGGATGTGTTAACAAAGTTTTTTTACCTGCATGTCACACACTAAGACTTAACCCCGTATGCCCCCCTGCCACCCCTCCCAAAGTTAAGGCAATCCACGTAAGTCTATGTAAATGTATTCTCCAATTTTGCCTTGTTACATCAGAATGTACTTCCAATCTATTTCCAGTTCTATGCCATAATATTAAAGCAGTTAAGGCTTGGAGCAAGCAGCCTGATTCCTCCCCCTCTTGTCCCGTCACCTCTTACTGACGTCTTTCCCTGCAGTCCCTGACGCACCTCTGACACTAACAGCTCTGATGTGAGATGGAGCTGCAATTTCCTCCTGCTTCAACTTGCCTAAACTTTTATTTTCTTACGGCGCCTCAAGCTTCATTTTATTTACCACACTTTTAATGCGAATGCATATGTGTGAAAATGGGCAGTTCAAGGTGGATTTAAAGGGCATAGTTTCAAATTATTGTTGAAACAATGTCAACTTGACCCAGTCTGCCTTCTTTGGAAGAGACTTCCCAGCACATCTCAGATGTTTGGCATCTAAACTTGAGGAGCAGACACAGAAAGCCATGTGTGGGTTTGGCTGACACTTGGACAAAATATGTGAGGAATGATGACTGACAACTCACACAGCAGGAGAGGGATGTTGTGGTCAATGCCAAGAAGCCAGAAGATGGTAAGGGGGAAGAACTTGTGGTTAGAGTTAGACAACCTGGAATCAGCCGTAGAACCTCTTCACTTCCAAAACCACAACTTATGGCCCCTGGTTAGAGTTTTTTCTTAGGATATTCAATTTTGTTAAATAAGGAGGTTTTCAAAAGACTGAAAGTGACCCCTTGCAGCATAAAGAAATTATAAATACTGACCAGTGGGAGCTTGAACAGCGATTCAAAGCTGATGATAAAATTATGTCAACTTTTCTTTCTGAGTTCAGCAAGACCCAGAGGAGAGGAGCTTATCTAAAACTGCCATAGTGAACGGAAGTGGAGATAGTCCAAATAGATTTTATTTCTTTCATTCCATCTTACAGAAATGTTCTATTTATGTCTTCAAGAAGTTAATCCTTTTAGTTTTTGCATTTTGTACATGAGTTTGCAGTATGTTTGTATCCTAAGGAAAAAAGATTTAAAACTTCAGCTATATTTCCCAAACAATATATAAACAATATATATACAATATACTTGCTTTACAAAAACCTTATACTGTAGTATAAAGACTTTCAGTGTTCAACATGCTGCATGAACTGACTAGCAAGTATATTATTATGAGAGAACATAAACATATTGCATGAAAATGCAAAACCTTTGCAAAGTAACACAAAAGAAATAAAAATGCCCCAATTCCCCAAGGAGGCTCCATAAGTGGTAAATCACTGCACCTCTAGTAGTATTGTCAAAATCATAGAACATATTATTTGTTTGGAGACTGTTATTAATGAACTAAAAGTGATATTTAAAAAAAATGTTTAGTGATGACAAGCATAAGTAAAAGTTTCAACACTGTCAGTGTATTCTAAAGCAGGTAAAGATGACTTTTATGAAACACAAGCAGGAAAAGTGATATACTTTCCCTATATGAGGAGTGAAGGTGAGTCTCAGAAAAGCCATATGTGAGCAAAAACCAAGAAGACAGCCCTTGTTAAGCTTAGGGTCAACTAATTGGGTTTTGGTGCATGTGTGTGTCCTGTCTAGACTGCTCCACCGTTATGTTTTCTCAGATGTGGGGCAGTATTAAAACCTTTAGGTAAGCAAACAGCGCAGCTGTCTCACACACATCTAGAGGAAGCAGTGTGTACTTTGAATATTTTAAATACGCCTGTTGTTTGATGATCCTTGCGTGTGCACTTACCTGTCTATGATTTACTGAGATAGGAGAAAGTTCTTGTTAGCTGAAATAATCAGGATTTATGAGTCTCTTTGCGCTGTTAAGCGACTGGCTGGAGGCTCTGCCCCACACAGGCGCACCCGGCTGGACTAATTGAGTTTAGTGATTGCTGCCTCATTTCTCCACCAAGAGCTCCTCTGGTTGATCGTCAATCACATGCACACCCTTTAAGTTGGGCTTTTCGCTTTACTTTTCCTGTTTCTGCACACGGTAAACCCTTTCTCTTAAGGTGTGTTTGCCTTCTGCTCGGGCACATTTTCTTTAAAAGGGGAATGTATCACTCTGTGAAACACTGATGTGTAGCCTGATGTATCTTACCTGTCTCCGCTAATGTTTTTGACGTTATTACCCTCACTCATCTCGGCTGCTCACTTAGCCTGTCTGCCTCTTCTATCTTCAGTATTTGCACACATTTGGTACTTTTGTAGGAGGAAACGTGAGGTTGTGTGTATAGAGTTGCGTAAAAAAATGAGGCCTGTTTGTTTTCCCAAAATATTTGGATGCAAGATTCTGCTGTATGGATGGTTGGTATTAGTGTACAGGAAAAAATCAGAATAGTAAACAATTTGGTGAGGAATAAATTGCAATAATCCCAGAAAATTAGCCATGGAGCAAATGGAGACGATTCAAGACATGTAAGGCAGACCGCTTGTGAAAAACAGTCCCAAAAATTAGTTTTTCTGTTCTGTTCCAATATCCAGAATAGTGTTCTTCAAACAACTGAGTCTAACACTGAAATATTTTAGAAAGAGGACATACATGACATA